ACCTCCTACACCCACCCCAAAAACACTCCCTAGCTAGAGACTAAAGGTGCTCTTAGCCAAGCCACAGCGTGAAGCTGAATCTGTGCAGAGCTCGCTGCAGCGCCATCCTGCTGGCACAAGCACAAGCCTTCTAGATTTACACTACTCCCAGCAGGCTGGGCTCAAAAAGCTAAGGAAAACTTTCATCTTGTCTTTCATCTACCTATGAACTTCCAGAAGCACGTGACAGCTACGGGTCCTCTGCATGCAGGACTGGTAAAGGACACAAAGACAGGGCAGGCAGGGAAGACTTCACTGCCATCAGGGTGTAATCGTGGTCTCCCCCTGATCGGCTGCAGAGGGGAGAAAGGGAATAAAAATTCAATGACTTCTCTTCATAACCTTATCCGAGATTTCTGTCTTTCAGGAACACGCGCACTGTGTTCCCTGTAACCCAAACCTGAAGCAGCAGCAGAGTATCGAGTCACCAGGCAGAGCTGTATCCCATGGTCTGCCAAGGGAAAAGCATCCCATGGGTTGCAGGTTGCCATCACACAAAGAGCTAGGCTATTTATGGAGAAATAATAGCCTTAACTTACAGTAAAAGGTTTCAATATCGAACAAAAGGGTGACTTTTATAACTGATTTGCATTATTAAAAAAGAAGTAACTTGAAAGTAAAGCAGGCATTAAAAGAAACATGAAGAACAGTGAAAGACAATCCAGTAGCTGCAGATCTTTGATATGCTTTATCAGGAACAGCCACTAGTTGCCACAGGTGAACTGGTGGCTTTTCACGCAGTAAGCGTTGTGAAAGCTGCCCTTCCCTCCGAAGCCACCAATGGCTCGGTTTGGTCAGCCAGGTGACAGCGTGCACTTACGTTTTTTTCCATGAGGAAGCAAATGACAAAATCAGAGAGAAAAGCGTGTCTATCTTCAAGGGCTTTAACAGAAATTCAGCGATAAAGCCGTTCCTTGAGGCAAACTGAACAAGGAGGTGCCTTGCTGCACAAAGTTGGGGAATTATTTTAACAGGAATTCCAGTAACAGCGACTGACCAGCGTATCAGCATACACACAAATGCCCCAAATGAAATCACAGTTCCTCTGTGCTATGCTCTACAAACACAGAGAAAGCATTCTTGCCTCAACATGCTTATGTATTTTGAGCAGTGAAAAAAAAAAGATGCCGGTGACCCTGGTATTTCTGGAAGAGTTGCTGGCTGGCTGGCAAACAGCAATATTGTGACCTCCTCAGTAACAAGAAAGAGAAATGCAAACAACCAAGAAGAACAGAGCAAAACAAAAATATTTCCATAAGCAGAACTTTTTATATCCTGAGATCTCTGACTCGAGTTCAGAAGGGACCCACCAATGTGTATTATGTGACTCTCAGTATCTCGTAGTCTTCAATAAATTTATTTGCTAGGAAGCTCAGCAAGAAAACAGAAAAAGTGAATTGTCTCAAATCCCACAGCAAAATTATTATGGAAGATATAATTGAACTGATGTCCAGGGTTTATCTGCGAACTTCAAAAAAATCACTGCAACATTGCTCTCCTGCGCTCCCCTCACATCCAAGGGGATCACGTGCCGTGAAAACAGACGGCCTAAGCAATCTTAAAACAAACAGCAGTCAGAAACAGGTGAGAACACTGTAAGGTCAATGGCTTGCTCCCTTTGTTGGTTTGTTTTAGGCACCATCTACTTAATTCAGAAGTCAGAAACAGGAGGGAACATACCAGGGCCCCACTTCTTGCAATAAGGAGCCAAGGAAGCACAGGAGGAAGAGAAGGTATTTCCATCCTAAGATTTCAGTGAACCACAAAACAGCACAGGGAA